TTTTATATTAATTTATAAAGAAAAGTTTTTTTAATCTAGCCCCAAACGTTCTCGAAAAATATGATTTAATTGAGACAAATTGATACAAACTGCAGTGCAAAGTATGGATGACATTGATTTACCCGTTAAAAAGATGTTAGAGGATAAGTTGCGCCACAAATTTTTGACCGCACTATAAGTATCATTATGTGGTTTCTTAGGAGACTGCTGAGAATATCGTGTAAGGAAAAGAAACCAAGTGAGGTAGTGCTTGATGAAGCCCACGTGGGACACACACTGTTAAATCAATCAAGAAAAGACAAACGCAGTTTTTCCGACACTTGAATTGACCCAAAGGTTTTGAACATCTAGATCTCACTTGCAAAATCGAAGGCAAACGAGGGAAAGGTAGACCCAGAGCAACCTGACTAAGGAACTTAAACAAATGGGTAACTGGGAAAGACCTGAGAAAACGTGGGAATGGGTACCCGGCCAAAGACAGCAAAAGATCTTGTCAGTATGTTTGTGTCTTAGTACCTATAAATGGCTGCTGACACTGTGTGCTTCCTAGCAAATTGAGATTGCTTCGGAAAGCTCTCAGGTCTGCTGGGGTAATAGTTTAGATAAATTGTGAAACGCAATGCTGTTGAGCGAGGATTTGCGCTGTACTAATGCTATCTATTATTATCCTAAGATCCTCCAAATATTTGGAATATAACTTTCTGCATTGAGAACTCTGCAAGATGTAAGAAAGAACAATACTACGTCAACAGTTATATCTATCATTTCAATATATAATCAGGGATGTATTCTTTTTCTACAGCGTATGTCTGTATTTCACACCAATTAAAAAAAAGAAAAGTGCCTTTTTGAGGTCACTATCAGTGCTATAGCAGCACCAGAGAATTTTCATAGACTCTTTAAGACTCGAAAGAGCAAACAAACCCAAAGAAGTAAGAATTATTCCATCCTTTGTCCTATATATATATAATATACACTTAAAAAACAAACCCTACAGTACTGCACCTCAAGGTGGTCATCAAACGTTAGTAAAGAGAACAATTTAATGATAAGTCATCCTTTGAGGGGGGAGGGGGGGGTGGGAGGGACTACACCCCGAATGTCCCGCTGGGCTCTAAATTATGGATTTTCAGTTGTAAGCAGTTTTAGCTTCTTCAACCTATGTTACAATTTTTTCATCGCATTAGAACCCCCTAAAGCCTTATTTCTTCCCTCCTCCCATACAAGGCATGTTTGCCACCATCATTTCCTCATAAAGTCAATCGTTTATCTTTCTTCATCGCACGTTTTCTCAAATCGCGTCTTTTTGAATACTTTTTTTAATAACTCCACCTTTTTTCGTGAAATTTTCAGAGAATAAAGAAAATATGTAATACTAGAAAAGCCTGAGTTGAAATTTGGATGTATGAAATAAATTTTTGTGGGTGGTGTCTGGAGTGTGGATTTTCACGGATTTTGGGCAAACTTGAATACTACCTCAGGAAAAAAATCATTAAAAATTGTCTAATTTGTTTAGGAATCATTCAAGAGATACGTTTGTAGATCTAATGTTTGTTAACATGAATGCAAAAAAGATATATATTTCCATGAAAAATAACTGCTGTATTCATTATGTAAGACATGTCAATAAATTCCAATTTAGCCGCCGTAGCTATGGAAACGAAGCTTATTTTTCAAATTTGATTGCGGATTTTAAGACTCCTTACAATGCTTGTTATGTTTGTGACATTTGGTAAAATTTGATCCACTAATAAGCGAGATAGCCTTCAGAT